ATCAAACTGACTTTCTATGAGCAGGTGTTTTTAAAACTTCCAAGTGCTTGCAACCTAAATATTGTTCTAACAGTTTTAAATCTCTAACAGGTGGAGATTGAAAGTTGGAGATGGCACCAAAGTTAGTTAATAGGGAAAATACTGAAGGCTTGGCTTCCAGGTTAATCTCACTGGGGAAGGCTGGAAGGTAGATAAGAGATGACAGAGGTGGTTTCCATAAACTTCAGTTTGATAAGAAAAGTAAAAATAAGCACAGTAAACTTAAATGTAGTTCTGATTTCTGCATATATTGACTATAAAAGCAGGAAATTTATTCCTCAATGTTTTTGGTTGTTTTATGCTGTTTGTTCAGATTGTTGTTGAATTGCTGCAGTCAATATAGCTGATCTAGCAATCTCAAAATGTTCCTCTTTCATGAAAAAAGCCTGCCAATTCCCTGCTGCCATGCTTTGCGCATGATTGCAGGACTGCTCTACCTGAAATGCTAGAGAAAGCTGGCTGTGGTCACTTGGTCTTAAACCCTAGGAAGGAAAAGCCCTGGGATTTTTGAACCTTGAGGAGGATTTTGGTTTAGCATCTGTATTGCCACTTAGTGATAATCAGTGGCAATTCAAAGTAGCAACTGAATGGTGACTGACATTACACTGATGGGAAACTTCTGTATCATACACAAAGATTTTGTGGCACAGTTGACATGTTCCTTAGCATCTTTTTACCTTTTTGCTAATTAGAAATAGTCTATTTAATATCGGTAGAGGAATTATCTAGATAAACTTTTAATCAACTATAAATCCTTCAAAACTGGTAGGTGTCTTTGTTTCAGGTGAGTGGATATTTGAAGTTGTAGAAAAACTAGTTGCAGACTGCATTCTTTCAGGGCCGCAGGTTAACTGGTTTTGGTAAGAAGGAAAAAAAGTTCTTCCCTGGATTTAAGACTATAACTTCTGGAGCTGTGGTGTATTTTGAGGTGAACAAGAGCTTTCATGTGCAGGCTAGACTATCTTGAAGCAACGGCTGTGTAACATTCATTCTGCTCTTGATGGAAGCTTGCTGCAAATTTGACAAGTAACGAATTCGACACCTTTAAATTGCTTTCAGTGATTTTTTATTTTTTTTTTTCTGTAATGCTATGTGCTGTTCTCTGGAAAATCCTCAACCTCCTGTGAATGAAGATATGCACAGAAGTATTCATAACTGAAATAAAGATTTGCAGTTCTGCATTTTGTGTAATATTTACAGAAGTGCATAATTGTGCAACCTGCTTTGGATGTGTATCAAACTACACATAATTCTCAAATTCTTCTCCCAGCTTCCAGGGGGCATTTGAGAGGGTACTATTGATACTGATACAAATCATAAATGATGTTAATATGGACACTCTATATCCCTGGCAGATAATCAGAAATTATTTATTTGATATTTTTAAAGTTACAAATGAAAACAGTTAGTTCAATAAACTTGCCCTATAGTAATGTTGAATGATTAGGATTTTTAATTAGAGCACCCTGTTGTTTCTCTGTAGAGGTGTTTTTTGTTTTGGTTTGATTATTTCTTCTAGAAAGCAATTCAAGGTTATGTTTGACCGAATACTATCTTTTCTATTCTAATAAGCAGTGTGATTGTGTTGTAGTGTGGTCCCTCTCTCCCCCTGCCCTTTATTTTAAATGGTATGTTTTAGTCACATCACAGGACTCAACCCACTCCCGTGGGTTCATTGCTGAGGGAAACAAATCATGTGTGTAGGCATGAGTCGTGGCTCTTGCCTGTGTCTGAGAAAAACACTAGACTTAATGTCACATTTTAGTGAACCTTTTATATAGCACATTCCCTAGGTCTAATGTAAATTGTTGTTACATTTTTCTGATATTTTAGGGATTTTTAGCTGAGTTATTTATCTTTCTTTTTTTTAATCTTAGTTTAGGCAGAAAGTAGTTGAAGAAACAGCCATGTGTCTGCAAAGCTGTTAGCAAAACACATGTTATTAGGCTGAAAAACCTAGACGCTTGTGTGTTACTATTGTTTGATAGGATCTTTTGGGTACCAGTTAAGTGTCTGGTTTTGTCTTGGTGGTCTCTAGATCCTGAGGATATCTAATCGATGCATGCCACATTCTTGATTGCCGAAGAACTCAAACTTTGAATTTCCTTGTCTTAAAAAGCTTTGGAATAAATGGAAAGATTAGTTCATAAGATAGTAATTTTTAGAAGTGCAGTTTAGCACACACTGCTTGCTCTGTAAGACTGAATTTATCATGCTGTTAACTCCAATGGCTCGGTCACTGTTCATAGGCCAGCATTTCCTGCCCATGGTAAGTCCACAACATTTTACCAAATGCTCTGCTGAAAGAAGCAGGTTATGATCCCTGGATATGAAGAGTTAAGGCAAAAGAATATAGGCTTGTGTGTCTTGTAGAAATTGTGATTTCCAGTTGCTGATAGCTTATTGATGCCAAGAATTATTTTTCAAGTGTGTTTGCCAGAAAAATGAGTTAAAATGGCACCCTAAAGTCAGTCTTTTTTCTTGTCTGCTTAGTGCAAATTTTTTAATGAAACCTCAGGTTGTGATTTTCTCAGGATTCAAGTGTAAGCAAGTTCAGAGCAGGTCATTATTCTAATGGGACATCCTGAAGGAAATGCCAAGTTTTGTTGGTTTAGTTGGTTCTTATAACTGTGCCATGGCGACTGGCCAGGGCTGGAGAGAAAAGGACTGCTATGCTTTGGTGTTATTTATTTTAGGGCAGTTGATGTGGAGAAACAAAGTCAAGCAGCTGAAGTACCTGAACCAAAAAGACAGGACCGTAACGTCAACAAATCAGCATAACTGCCTTTCTGGCTCTAGTGGTCCATGTAGGGATCTGTGAGCTGCTTTCTTCCATGTGCCTGGATAAAAGGAGGCCAAATGCTCTGCAGTTCAGCACACATTTTTTCTCTTTAGAAATAGTATGGTTACAAAGATAAGACTCAGGGTCTGGCAGCGACATGTGATTGAAAAGTAGCTGGCTGAAGCTTAGAATAAATAAGACGTATGTTTTGTTACTAGGAAAAAAAAAAGACCTTCAAAGAACCGATCATGGTGTTGGCCTTTCAGTTCATTGAAAAAGATTCTCTGCCAGTTTTTAAAGTAATGTGATACTTCAGATGCCTGTGACACTGCTGTGTGTGGCTATGTAAATACTGTCCCTCTGGCAACTTGCTCTACTTGGTTCTGACATGGACAGCTGTTTGGAAAGACTGGGACATCTAACAGATGCTATGAAATTCTTTACAAGTATAACTGGTAAATATTCCAGTGGTACAGAAACATGCAATTAGCTTTCAATGCAATCTCTCTTCTTTATAAGTAATCTTGATCTTCAGAAGTTGATGATAAAATAAATGAAACAGCTTTCCTATTTGTGTATTGTTACTTTGAGTCTGGTTATATTAATAGAGAAATTAGGGAAGGTCTTTAGTAAGTCCCATGACCATTTACCATTAAGTAATCAACTCTTTAGATCTCTTGCAGAAAAAAACCTGTTCAGGTATGACTTCAGTATTCTCTATAGGAAATAGCATGTGTTCACAAAGTTCTTTAGCCATGTAAATTGTGCTAGGTACAGAATAAAGAAACAGAGTGCCTAATTTTCTGCTGTGGCCAGTACAGAGAAGTCAGTGACTCCATGGGGCAAGATTTGAATACTCCAAGTTGTGTGTCTAAAGTATATGGTGTAAACTTTTTTAGATATTTATTTCTTCACCTTCATTTAGTAGCTGTCTATGCTGTTGCACAATGTGTAAATTGAGTATTTTAAGTGTCATATCAACGTTAAAGTAATTATGTTCCATGAAATTGTCATTTTGTCTGCATGTTGTTCAGAACTTTTGTGTAGTTTTGTTTTACTAAAAAAATGAAGTTTTATTATTATCAGTGCTTGTGTCTACATTAAAGTTCACTTCTCCTTATGTCGAAGTAAGAAAAGTGTCTGTAAAGGATACCTTCAGTGCATTTCTGCAAATCACTGTCTTGCACATGTCAGATTTCATACTAGACTATTGCTGCTGCTGTTCACTCTTTAGTGTTAGTTCCCATGAGCCAGATTTAGACATAAAAATACGAGCCCATATCCAAATCGTAGTTTAGATAGTTTGACAGCTGTCAAATATTTTTTTTTTTTCCTACCTCAATGTTACAACCTATGCTGCTCTCCAGGGGAGACAAAATCTTTCTGTAGATAGCCTTATTGCTTGGCTTCTGTTGAGACGGCTGAGTGCTGCCGAACTGTGTCCTAAAAAATTACTGTGGCACATAAGCCTGTACAGTTCCTTGTGTGTCTACTGTTGGGCTCTCCCAGAATCCTTAGTGTGGCTGACCGAGCAAAATAGTTGAAATGAATGCCTTTGCATATTGTCACCATAGCTCCTCATTCACTGTTCAACTCACTATTGTATCACCATTCACCTCATTAAGTGTCTAATTACTTTAATAGGCTTTCCTGACACCTTTTTTCCCCAATTAGGAAGTGTTTGCCTGATGGTTTGGAGATGAACTGAAAGACCTTATCATGCTCAGAAATGAGCAGCTGCCATCACAGAAGTTACAGGTTACAGCAAGGAACTGCAGGGCTAAGTAAAAAAGAATAGGCAAAGGTTTAGGCATTAGTATCAGGATATTTCTGTGAGATGGTGTAGATTAGACCATGTGGCACTGAAAGCGTGGTAGTTCTGCCAGTACTCATTAATGTAACTCTCCCAGTAACTCATTAATGGAGCAGAAATTTTTGGGGATGCAAACTGCATTGACTTAAATTCCTTTCTTATTTAAACAATGTTAATTTGAGGTTTGTGTGTGTGTTGCATTTATGGTTGCTTTTTTCCTTTTTATTCTTTCAATGATTATTATTTAAGAGAGAAAACTTAGCCTGTTGCTTTGATTGTTCTATGTAGAAGGGTTATTTTCAGATACAAGTGTTAAATCTGTTTAATTATTCTTGTATTAATTAGTTCTTATTATTGTCTTGAAAGGGGCTGACAATATCAGGAAATACTGGAGTCGTTACTACCAAGGATCCCAAGGGGTAATATTTGTATTAGACAGTGCCTCCTCTGAAGATGATCTAGAAACTGCTAGGAATGAACTGCATTCTGCTCTCCAGCACCCACAGTTATGTACTTTGCCGTTTTTGATACTGGCCAACCATCAAGACAAGCCAGCAGCTCGCTCCGTACAAGAGGTATGTTACAAAGGCGGCATCTTGCCTGTTTCTGTTTGCTCTCTGCACACCACCCCCCCGGTTTTAATTATTACCCTGACATCCTGCTTAAGGACTGGCCTCAGTTACTCTTATCTGTAAGTGCACAGACCAAGAACAGTCCCAGCCCCTAAGAACTGAGTCCAGTGCGCTCTATACAGGCTTAGTCGTTCTGGAAAACAGACAATTAGTACTTGGATAAGAACAGTTCTTCTACTTTCACCATATTTTGACATTTTTAAACTACTTTTATCAAAAGCTGCTGGGACAGTGACTTATTATTTAGCTTGGGTTTTTTATTTGCTATTAGTTTTAACCTTGCATGACGCCATTCTTTCAACTGCTTAAAACAGTAGATTCCAGCCCTAGGTTGTCTGTTATGTAAAAGCTTTTTTTCTGAACTGCTTTGTACTGATGTGAGGGCAGAGTTGCAATTCCTGTTTTGAAGTCCTTAACTTGTTCAGATTTCCTTCTTTAAGGGAGTAATGTCTTTGTCTAATTTATAGCTATCACATAGTAAATTATATAATTGTTCTATTCAGTGTAACTTTTGCACTTAAGTTTCTGAAAAACACATCTTTCCTACATTCCTATCATGTCACAAACCTTTGAGGAAATACTGAAAGTTACCAATTCTTCATGAGAAACTCTAATAACTCTTCTGAAGTTGTAGGAAGAAGTTAAAATTTGGTTATGTCATTCTGTTCATAAACGTCCCTTATGACTCTTAAGGACTCTTCCTATTAAAGATTGCATGTGAAGTCTGCTGTTCGTTCTGTGAGTGGTGTTTTTCATTACAGCAGAGTGAAACTGTTTCAGTACCTTACTGTGTTGCTGTTTTGTATTTAATCTTGTTGCTTTCTTAGAGGCAATTCTTTCTCTAAAATATGATCTTTCAGAAGAATGCCAATTCAATGAAATGCAAAACTTACCAATCCGTACTGCTATTTGTACAGTTAGTTGTATGTAGTTTCTGTACTGCTTTATTGCTACTTATGCTTGCTTTATTAGCCAAAAGAAATAGAGGGTAAAAATTTAAGCCCATTATATGTTAAGAAGGAGAAGTGAAAATGTGACTGGAGTATAGTGATGTTTTGCTATAAGAGGAAGAGAATAAGTGAGAACTGTGTAAGCTACACTGTAAAATATTTTATTAAACTGTTGGTTCTTTCCTCAAAAACTGCATGCTTAAGGGAAAAAGATATTTGTATTTAGTATATCAAGTTACATGAAAAGGTAAACCGAAATGACACAGGGATAGAATCTACAAGTTTTAGCTCTTGTTTAACCAAAAAGAGACTTAAAAGTAATGAATATTTAAAGAAATGTAATATGGACTTTTCTGTATCAATTTATTAGTTTCTTCTAGCGTATTGTGGGATGTAAAAGCAAAGCATGTATTTCTAAACCTTTCACTTAAAAAATAATAATATCCCAAGACATAACTGGTTTCATTTTATTAATCCAAATATGTTGTTTTGATTTTTACTTTTTTCCTAGAGCAATAGCTCTGCAATTACAGATTACAGTTTCCGTCAACAGAAGTGCTTTTTTCACATTATTTCAGTATTTTTTATTTTACTACTTTTTTTCCTTGTTAAAATGACCATATTTGGTTAAAAGCTAATTGAGGATTTTGATTATAAATGTCATTTAAGAAATGTTCCTTGTCCAGCTTCACAATGCATAGCGAATACAATGCCAGTCAGTTTGCTTCACAGGAAATTATACATGTAACTCTCCGTTTTGCAGTTTAGCCCATATGGATAGCCTTTTGGGCCTGAACTGAATCTTTTGTGTGTTTAGAGTTAAAATTTCTTCTCTTTTATTGGCAGTACTGTAATTTTCTCCTCATCCATCATTAGCAATTCCTTGATATCTCAGTAGAGGAGTAGATCTTTATATGCTTACAGTAGCATTCAAATATGTTTCTCTACATGCTCTTTTAAAAAAATCTTTTGGTATATCATCATAGCAAACAAATCTTGATTGCTACTTCGAGTAGGAGATGCTGAGTACAAGAATTTATTAAATGTGCACAGTTTATGCATATTTTTCAGAAAAAAAAAATCGCCTTATATCAAGAACTCAGTATATGCTTTGAAATTTAAGACGAGTGGAAAACAAAATTCCAAAAAGAAAGAGGATGTCACAAGGTTGTTACATTTTCCCTGAAAAAAATCATGTCCTGTGCTTGCTGTGTATGCAAAGTGGGAGTGTTATTCAGTCACTTTTGCCTGTATTAAAATGGAATTTTCTTGCTTTCCTAAAGGCTTTTTCCCGTGCTGTTGTCCTCATTGAAATATGAAATGAAAGTAAAATGCTGAATCATAAGACCATTTCTTATTTTGAAGGGAGTATATTTAAGGATTTAACAAAAATAATATCTTGAACATTGAGAGTTTTATTAGACATCTTTGCAGAACTAAGTCCATTAATTACAGGTATTTCCTTGCTTTTTTTTTGTGTGTCAGAACACAGATGAATTACAGTTGAAATTCAGAAGTATATATGCATTCTTTTAGGCAACAGATTGCCTTTCTTTAATGGATATGAAAGGACCCCTTGGAGTATAATTAAAGAAAATGTCTGAGTTGAGTGGCACGTAATAGTAATTGTAGAAAAATATTTATCTACAACAAAAATCCTTCACAAAACTGTACAAGTGCCAAGCAGTTTCTGCAACAGATGTTAGTTACATTTATTGTTGAAAAGTGCAGTTGCTTCAGTTTTTCAAAATTTTATATTTTATTTTAATGTGTTTTCTACATGCATTGCTTAGATAGAAATGATATTGTAGAAGCTGCATGCTGTTAAGTATTAAGCAATGTCATGGACAGTTCAATTTAAAACTATAACGGCTATTTGCAAGAATATCCAAATAACTTGTTTAATTTATAAATGAAATATAACCTAATTCATTTTGCAGGCATGATTGAAGGATATCCTTCATATTATTAAAGTGATCAGGAAAAATTACAGGAGAAGCTAAATTGAAATACTAATCAGTAACTGTAACCCTTTTTTCCTGTGTCCAGGTGCTGTTTAGATGTTTCCAAATTTTTTTGGCTTTAAAATGAAATTAAGAAAGTAAATTTGACATTTCATTCTAAAAACTATAAATGACGATATTGTGTCTCTTATTTCTCCTATGTCAATTTCTATGGTGTTTATTCCACCTTCCCTGTCACAGATATTTGTAGGTTATTTTGTTGTTCCTGTGACAGTAGCACATATTTGTTTTCAAATAGCTGCTAGGTGATTTCAGCTGAGCAATGCTGAAATAATATTAACCAGTTTGTAAAACTCAGACAACTATATTTGCAAAATAACATTATTTTAGATTAAAATTACAGTAATGATTAATGATACATGTCAGTTCTGACTGCTGTTTTTGAAACCTCCTGAATTAATAAATAAAAATAGTTACAAGTGAAAAATGAATTTAGTTACTCAGCAGATGGGAAGATGGTGACATATCAGTTTTGTCACTGTTTCCAAAATGCAGGGTGCAGTTCTAACACTGTGTACCTAATTATATATTTTTTAAATAAATATCTTGCTTATGGAGTGTGCTTTTGGTTTTCCATCACAAAAATGCTTTTGATTATAACAAGTGTTTTTGATTGGTCAGATTTCTGTTACAGGGTTAAAATATTACGGGAGATTTACGGTGATAAAAGCACTGTAAATTGCTTTGCAAGGGAACAGCAGAATTACTATGATTACCAACTTGTTTATTTTTATTTTGGAATGTATGCTGCTCTATCTAATAATATTGGAAGCTGGATATTGCAGTGGATTCCTGTGATTTGAACCAGTATGCAAACTCAGAGTCTCTTTTCTCCCAGGTCAGACCAGTATTTAGGAGTCGCAGATCGGATGCATTGGAAGTTTTCCATATTTTAGAAATGGTATTTAGTATTTTAGAAACAGGCTAAACTAAGCAAACACTCACCTGAATCTGGAACTTCTGGAAGCCATGAAGGACTGGCCAAAGCAGAAAAGAAATCGAACTATGAAGCTTTGCCAGTTCAGTGGTGAAGCGGCTGTGTGTTTGGCAGCATATTGGTTTTGGGGAGTTTCTTTGTTTTTTGTATTTAAGGCTGTTTTCAAGATTGGGGTTGGACTAGATGGTCATTGCAGGCGCCTTCCAACTGAGCTTTTCTATTCTAAGATCATACATGTGAAGACATTCATAGAGTATAACCTTGTGGTGTTTTTTCTTCTAGTTATCCAAAAGTGCCAGCAATTAATACACTTCTTTAATACATATAAATTGATGACTACTAGTACCAGAGGAGATCATTGAAGAGACGTTCTAAATTCCTGTTTTAAAAAATGCTAGAACTTTTTAATATAGACTTACTAGTAGACAGTGAATCAAAAGTCTTCTCAGTCTATTGTAAGACTGTATTATCTTTTTAAATATTGTTGTCAAAAGGTTATGTAAGGTGCTGATCACAAGTAGGTTTTTTTCATCTTCCATACAAGATCTTACTTTAAAGTTGCGGTACTGACGGGCATGTGAAACTCCAGAGGAAAGTCGTTGTTTCTTCAATAGAGCAAGATTAAAAATATCTCTGAATTACAAACAATATTTGCAAAAGCAAGTGTGAAAGGTTGGTCACATGTTTACATAGACTGTGATGTATTTGTCTATTTGAGAATATTTTAGGGAATTTGGGATTAATGGACAGTGTTTAATTTGGTTTTCTGCTAGCAGAAAAGTGGAAGGTGACTCTCCTTGTGAAGAGGCGCCTTAGGGATGTGAGGGCTAGTATCTGTTACTCTGCCAGTTTCTTCTGTGTTGTTTATGTCTGGAAATAATTTTGTAGATAAACAATGTCTTATTGATGCCTTAAATGTCTTAAAGCTAAATAACCATTGCAGGAGAATGTCCAGGATTGTCGGCATCTGTGGAGGCTCTCACTGGTGCCGGTGAGCTGGAGCACAATAGAAACTGTGGTTTCTGGGCCTGC